CTGGAGGTCCGCTCGACTTTGAACTTCTTAGGGAAATTCTTAAAAAAAAAAAACTTACACTGGCAGACTTCTGATTTTCCATTCCAAACACCCTTATCACCAAAAAATAAATGTTGCCAAAAATCTCATCCACCGAAATGTCTCCCTCTCCCATCCCCAATTTCATGCAACCAATATCCAACATATAAAAAAGATCCTTTCTAATAATAAAATAAAAAAATCTCTCTTTCTTAATCTCTATCTCCACAACCCTTTTCGGCCTCCATATGCAGATCCCTACCTTTTATCTAAACTGCCTCTGAAAATACTGATGTTTTTACTGACGGTGGTAAGGACAGCGAAAACATATTGTTTCCTCTATTAAAACCGGTGAAAACAGGCAGAACACTATAGACCTATCAGTTTGCTGCCACACCTCGCAAAAATTTTTGTAAAGATAATTTCTGAATTATCTTAGGGATTTCTGTGATGAACAATCAGTCATACCACATGAACAAAAAGGCTTCCAAACACAACTAAACACTCAACACCATTTAATGAAACTGCAATTTGAAATATGCAATAATTTCGATAAAAATACAGCCACGGCAATGATATCTATAGATTGCTCGAAAGCATTCGATTCCGTAGCCCACAGCATCCTCTGCCAGAAGCTACTTGATCTTGAGTGCCCTGAACGGCTCTATAGTATCATACAGTCTTTCTTAACAAGCCGAAGACTGGCTGTACGAGTACAAGATAAACATTTCCGTACTGTTCCCCTGACCTGCGGTATACCCCACCGAGCAGTTCTTTCACTTTAGTATTATTTGCATCTACACGGCGGACATCATAGGTCAGAACTACAAACGCGCTACCATTGCCGGTTTCGCCGACGATATAGCCGTTTATAGTTTATAGTTTAGCGTAAACCCTACCAAAGCATTAACTAAAGCCGAGACTGTTTGCCAAACAATTGTACAGAAGCTGGAACTCTTAAATATTAAAGTGAACAGCTCAAAAACCGATTGTGTAGCATTCTCACTTCAAAAAGGAAAAAAAAGTATGCTACCAAAGATCTTTAAAATTGGAAAAACAACTCAGTCACCGTCTCGCTCCATCGTCTACCTTGGCATTAAACTAGATCGGCATATGAAACTGTCGACTCACATTTATAATAAAATCAAATCTGTAAGACTGAAAACATATAGACTCCAACATCTTCTAACTTCCCCAATACTGTCACTTAGACTTAAATTACTAATATATAAAAGCATTTTACGACCTACCTTGATGTACGGCGCACCACTCTTCACACATCTTACTGGCGGCACACTAAAACACATCCAACGATACCAAATCAGTGTATTGAGAAAAATAACTCGGTCCACTTCATTCAAAAAATTAAAGGTAGATCAGCTGCACGAAATCTTTGAACTTCCCACGATTGAACAGTTCATTCTAAAGCGACACGTAAAATTTATGGACTCTTTGAAAGCACTTCCAAATCCTCTATTCAATACGCTAACTCCATTACCGGCCCCAGTTCGGTGGCAAAGTTCAGTCTTGGTTCAATCTTAGCTAGTAAGTTAGTTATTAAGTAGTAATAAGACACTTATAAACACAAAAATGGGTGAGCCCCATCGCCTTTACTGATACACTTCACAATTATTGTTACAACAATACATAAAGACAATTTCAATAAGGCCTTAAAATGTAACACAGTTACAGTAAAAGGCGTTCAACACAAAACTTAATTGTAAAATAAATTGTTCATTTTGTATTATATTATTGGGGTTAAGAAAAAAAAACCGCGAGAACGTTGGATGTGCATGGTTATTCAGAGCTCAAGATGGTAGGAATATAGAACATCAGTATAAATTATAATCTTACCACTCGAATAACCAGGCAGAGAAATTTGCTGTTTTAAAGGTGACCGAATACCTACAGTACCGGTCAGAAGTTTAGACTCACTTTTATTTAATCAACAATCTTCAAGATTGATAAAAGAATTTTAACCGAGAGATAACGGATTAAACATAAACATCAACAACTATCCTGATAATCCTCATTCAACATAAAACCGTTAACAGAGGACAGCTCTCCTCCAGGATTCCTCAGATAGCGCCAGCAATTCGCGAGTAAGTGAATGCTGTTAGACAGAAACTGTGTCCATCAGTACTGTGCAACAACGTCGACTTCGTGATTATGGTTTAAAAGGCAATGTAGTTGTTAGAAACCCTTATTAAAAACACAAAACAAACTTAGAATGGGCCAAAAACACAGAAATTGGACTGTAGAATAGTGGTCAAAATGTTGTTCATTGACGAATCAAAATTTGAACTTTTTAGAAGTAAACGTGTATGATTTTGTTCGTGGTATGATTGGTGAACGCGTGATGTATAATAATTGTAAAGAAAGGTGTAAGACCAGTTATGGTTTGGGGATGTTTTACCGGAGACTATGTTGGAGAGCCTTCTGAATAGAAGGCATTAATGGGGGAAAAAAAGAAGCAATAATCACGGAATTTCGCAGCGTCACGATTTTCAATGTGGGCAGAGAATTGTGGGTCAAGGATTTGTTTTCCAGCTGGAAAATGTTCAAACATGGAAAATTTAAAACATTCTTTCAAATTTTTTAGAAACTTCATTGAACCAAAATAAAATAAAAAAAAAACCGTGGCCACCTAAATCCCTTGATCACAACCCCATTAAACTGTTGAGGGATGAGCTCGAGAGAAACGTCTGGAAGATATAATGAACCAATAAAACAAACTTTCTTAACTAGACCATTGCAAATATTAATAGAAAGAATGGCAAAAATATGCAACACTCTGATTAAGGCAAAGGGTGATATTTCGAAGAATCAAAAATTGGAAAATATTCATCTTTTGTAAATAAAATTATGATTGTTGTGCAATAATTGTACTTGCAATAATCAAAATAAACCTGATGATTTATTTATTTGAGGCCTACAAATTTACTTATTTATTGTTTTACAAAATCTAAGGGTGAGTCTTAACTTTTGACTGGTTGTGTATTTAAGTACACTCTACAAACGAACACACTCGTTACTATAAAAACAAACAAAATTCTACTAGATTTTGTTGATAATTTAGACATTCATGATTACTTGTCTTGCCAAATTAGAAACAAATTATTAATCATTAAAGTAATGATTATCTTGCAAAAGAATCAGCTAAAAGGGATTTGCCGCCTTCGTATATAAGCTCCTTCATCCCATAATGAGATGAATTTAATGTTGGATCTAATCAAAAGATTGGATCACATATGGGTGATCTCGACCAGGCTTACACAGATTTATACCACATTCACGCATTACACATCAAACGCATTCACACTACTGACTAAAACTTACGCAAATTCTTTGGGAACATGGAAATTCAAAACAATATCTTAACAGATTCAACATTATACAGACAGACTTAAGCGATGAAGACGAACAGGTTCAAAATTTTTAAACATATAATATATGACTGTAAACGATTTGACAAGCAGCGATTTGAGTTAATAAAAAGCGTAGCTATAAAAAATGGAAATTGGCCTGTGACACAACAAAATTTATTTACTGAATTCAATACAGACTTTAATTAAATTTATTAAATCTATCGACTTACTTATAAGTGCTGGCACTGTAGTGGATTTCTTGTTTGCTTTGTCGAAATGACTTTTTAACTTTAATTTATTTGGTTCTTTTTTTTTTTGTTGTGTTGTATTTTTTCTATTTGTATTTGTGTATATAATTTTGTAATACATATATAATATAATTATAAGTATCATATATATAATTTATATTAAAAATTCATATCATGCAAAACTAAAAAGAAAATCATGCAAACAATTGTGATATTTCATGAAATATGCCTTTAAGGCATTCATGAAGCAAAAAGGAGAGTCAAATGAACGATCCTTACGAGGGTTATATATATATATATATATATATATATATATATATATATATATATATATATATATATATATATATATATATATATATATATATATATATATATATATATATATATATATAGTGAAAGTAATGCGTGCACAATTAAAGCGATTTCAGAAATATAATATTAAAAAATGTATATACTAATAACGTATAGGATTGTATACATTAATAACGTATATTACATATTAATATTTAATTTAATTTGTGTGTAAAAGTTTAATTTTATTTTCTTATACAATTTTTTTTATCAGAATTTAATCATTATTATTTATGTAAAACCGTACCACTCAGTGAGTGGTCATTATTTTTAATCGACTAAATAACAATCAAAGATCGATTTAAATTTTTATTTTTAAATCTGGCACGATTTTTAAATTAGTATATATTCAAATAAGAAGTTAAATTTATAGAAAAAGAAAACAGCAGCTATTTAATAAACTAAATAAATAAATATAAACAAATAAATAAAACAAAATTAAAAGAATTACCCGTAAACGAACAAATAAATAAATATTATACTAAAATCCAAAGAAGGGAATAATGAAAAGTCTGAGAAGAATATTCTATATGTACAAATCTTTATATTAAGATAACACATTAAAAAGGATTATATTGTATACTTCAGAAGAAAGAAAGTCAAAATGAAAATTCATTTCCGAAATTCATCCATTCAGAAATTGAATTCTCGAAACTTGGTGTATATTAACAAAGTATAAGCAAGAAACAGCATAGAAAAAAATTTAACAATCGTAAAACTATTGAAAACAATATAATTAGACTAATGTAAATCTGAAAATACTAAACAACAGAAATGACCATCTTCGATGGACCGACGGTCGAGTGTTTCTCCCTTTGGATTTCCGATGATTCAAGAAACCATATATTTTATTTTCATACTAAGGAGCAGTAGTTTAAAATGTGCACGAGGTACTAGCCCGCCCTCTTTACATGCATCGGCGATTTTCAAGTGGAATCTATTAGTATGTTGATTACTCGGGCTGTGTTCAATAAGATAGTGTTGTGTCTAAATATAATGACTGTTAAAGGTATTTTATTGTTCTATTTTTCAATATTCTTTAATATAGTGTTTAATATTTTTTTTTTATTTTAATGATATATTACATATTACTTAAAATGTTTTCTTTACAGTACTTTAATGATTTTTTTTATCGCTTACTTCGTTATCACCCATTGCTTGCTTCTTTGAAGTCTGGACTTTATTATGCCGAGCGTGTAATCCTTGTTCCATTTTATTTTTCTTTAAGTGGCTCCGTGGCATGGATTCCACCTCCGCGGTCTTACCATTCTGGAATTGAGAGAATTCCTTGCCTTCTGACTTCTCCCTGTGCCTCGTCGCAAAATTGTTATGGTGCATGCGCCGCTTGACTAATTCGTCGTCGTCATCTCTCAATATCTGCAATTCCGGGTCGTCCAAAGATATTGGGTGAGCGAATATGTCCCCGTAGGATTCTTCCACCTTTCTGTACTTGTTTCTCTTCGACTTATTCTTGTTTCTCGGAAAATTGTTAGAGAAACTCTTTGCGTCATAATCATATAATTCTTTTTCAGCAGCTAGGGCAGTGTGATTCAAATGACTCACCCTAGGATAATCGCTATCCTTGTAATCCAAATCATAATCGTTTTCATAATCATAGTAAGCGCGTATCGGATCCCCCTGTTGTCCATCTTTACTCCTATAATAATCATAACCAGAATCAACTCCTACCTCATATGTCAATGGGACATTTCTTTTGTAGCTTTCGTTGTATTTCTCTTCACGCATTTTTTTCTTTTTCACAAATGGACTGGGTCTCAGTTTTGTCATAAGATTATTTACCATTCCTAAAGCTGTATTACTTTTAGTCAGAGAATAGTAGCCGGGTTTAATAAACTTATTTTTTTTTGTTTCATAAGATTCATCGTTATCGAGGTCAATTAAAGAATCTATTGATTCTAAACCGCTCTTCTTTTCTGCCAATTTATTTTCTAAAATATTTGTGGGCGATTTTTCTTTCAACAATTCACGAGCGTTAGCTGTCTTTTTTTCATTTATATTGCGCTTTTTTTTTGGAGAAGGATCATAATTTTCGTTAAAAAGAACGGTCTTGGATGTTTCTTGTACTTGAGCATTACTTGGTACATTATTTTGCAAACCTACAGACACGCCAACAGGATTCAAGTCTGTAGAGGATATTATTTTTGTGTTAATTTGTGCCACCTTCACCATTTTATTATCTTTTTCTTCTAAAATTACTTCGTTATCGTCCTCGGAGTGCTTATCCATTAAGGTGCCAGCAATTTTGACAGGAGGCTTAGCGAGGAGGGGATGATTTTCTTGCACGACTCTATTGAATTGTCTTACAATCATTCCATTACCATTGGCTTGGCTGGCATTTAGTTTTGAATTGGTTTCTTGAATTGACGAAAGTGGGTGATTTGTAATAGTTGAGGGTGGCATTCCAATGTAGAGCCTGCTAGTTTCTGTAAGTAATGATGGCACCCGGTTGATGAATGTTATTTCATTACTGACGACTCCTTGATTTCCATTAGTGATATTGCCTTGAGTAGACTCATACTTGATAGGCTGATTTGTAACAATGCTCTTAACATTCGTTACTTCATTGTGTTCATTCACTACACCAGGTGTTTCATAATTTAGTTTTGTGCTACCCGTTAATTCTTCTTTCGTTTGACCGGCCGCTGAAGGATTCGATAGTAGGTTTTTGGCAGCCATAGCTTCATTTTTACTGAGCATCCCCGTGAGTTCGTCATATTCTTGAACATTTTCTTCGTATTCTGGTATAACACGAGAACCGCTAAAAATCTTTTCATTAAGATTAGTCGATGCTGGGTTTGTTCCTAGTTTCATTTCAAGGTCATTGCCGTTATCACTTTTCTCATCATTTAGTGTATCAGCATCATTTTCATGCGAAGCTTTGACTACTTGATTTTTATATCTCTTGTTAGAATCTCCTCTGAAAGGGGAGATTCTGTTATGGTTCAGAAAATTTACTCTTTTATGATATTTTGTTTTCCGTGGACGCACTATGTTACCCGATTCACTATTAGATTCCCTCCGTGAATTTATGTAGCTACTTAATATTTTTCTGTTTTTGTCTTCATTTAGCCAAAATTGTCTTTTTTCAACATCGCCAATAGGTGTATTCTTAAATTGGTTACTTTTTATGGTGTGTTTTTCTTCTTTAAACTTATATTCTTCAGAATTCCTTTCCTTATTTTTATCGTTGGTTATTTTCTCGTGATTGATCTCTTCTGCATAAGGCTTCCTCATCCATGGTTTCAACATATGCTCATTTGGGATTTTGTGTCGTTCCGATGCTTCTAGAAAGGAATTTCCGTCACTATCTACTGCTGGAGAGAATCCAGCATTATCTTGAACTGTTCTGATGTTTCCAGTTTTGCTATCTCTTTCTCTAGAAAATAAATAAAAAAAAGTGTAAACGTAACAAAAATAATATTAAGTTACTATGAAGAATTCTAAAGCCAATTTGAAATTGGTTATAAAACTAAAATAAGTCAGAAAAGTTTTTTTTAAGTTTCTCCATAAAAAATTTTCAATTGTTTAAAGATCATAGACCAGTGCTTCAAATAGCAAGGGCTTGTCAGAATATCTCGCAAAAACAGATGTTTATCAGTTGATTGACTCAGTGATTAACAAATTGTCTATGAAATAGTTTTAATATTCTAATAAATCGTCAGAAACCTATCTTAAAAAGTTAAAATAATACTATATAGTACAAATAGATTGAATAGAAACTGAAAATTATCAACTTTTTTTAATCTAATATATACAATAGGATGTGTTTACGTTTGCCTTAAAAATATATCATTAATTTTATTCATATCGTAGTAAAATATTGCATATGACAATGAAACAAAAGAGAAAGTAACACCCCGAATGGCAAACCGAAAAAAATGCCCTCAATCCTTTTATATTAATCATGAAAAAGAATCAAAGTACAAAAGAAATGGTGATTCCTATACATCTATAGGAATGTTATACATATATTGTTTTACACTAAGCAATTCGGCTCTCTTGGTTTTTTATATAATACTGGAAAATCACGGTTCATCACAGATTTTGTAAAAACTATTGATTCCGTGAAAACGGTCCTGTTTATGATATAAGACAAGATGTGAGGCGTCAAACTCCAGCTTTACCTTAATATATATTTTGTTCATTTGGCTATCGAGTTATGTAATTGAATTTAGCATACATGCACTCAAAATTTTACATATATGAGCCTTTCCGTTGACATAATGACTAATTCCAATTTCAACATTTTTAATTTTAATTTTTAATTAAATTTAGCAATATTTCTAGTGGGAAAATGTTTACATTTAACACCGCAATCACCTATTCTGGAATCAACTTATACACTGTCTGTACAGATATTATAAATTTTCCGGTACTTTTCGGTTAGCCGGTCTCAAATGTCGCCAATTGTGAACCGAACGCGAGCAAAGTCGCCAAGCGAAGCGAATGACAAAACAGTCAATGGAATAAAAGTCAAAAACGTTTAAATATAAACAAATACTAATTAATAGTAAGCTAAACAGTTTCAACTATAATCAAATATTAATAAATTGTAAACAAAACAGTTTTACCCAAAAATAATGCTAATAATTATTGGATTTTCTTTGAAAAAACCAGAGACCACCGTATTCTGTACGGTGATGTCCTTGAGAATTAGCTGAAATGGATAGTTTACTCCTCGTCTCCACATAAATTCAGCAAGGTACTCCAAATGATGGTGAGAAGTTCCCAGATGTTTTTTATTTCTCCATTTGGCACTGCCCCAAAGTCGTTCGATTTTTTGAGTGTTTACATCAGTCTTGGAATAAACAAAATTGTACATGTGATTGCATTTGAAATGCTGTAGACCAGCTTCTTCCATTTTAGTTGTGCAGCACCTTTCAGGAATCGGAATAGACGATTGACCCTTCTTCGATATGATTTCTTATCGCAACTAACAGTACTGGTAAAGAATGGTTTGAACTTTAACTAGAAAACATTCTTCTGTTTTGCTGCTAACGCCACCAAATATTCAATGTTCTGGATGAATTCGACTGGCATTGTTCTTTTATTTTGTAAATAAGCTCTCGTCTAACTATTTTTTCAGGACCACCTATTTGTTTACTTTCACTATATGTAGGGAAAGTATAGTGATCGTAAAATTTTTCGAATCTGAGTTTTCAATGGAAATACACGTTTTGAGGTCCCCCGAGTCAAAATAACCAAGTTCCACAAAATATTCTGTGTATGTGTGTGTGTACAGAGCAGCTCAAAACGAAAAGTCGTACAAAACTGATATTACGTATTTAATATAGGTATATGCCTTGGATGTGACAGCAATTTTTTCGTTAAAATCGACTAACCAGAAGTGCCACTTTATATCAAAGGTGAAACAAATTTCCCTAAAACGGCTCCGACGATTTTGATTAAACTCGGTGTATAATTCTACAATTAAGTAGTCTTTAATTTAATTTAGGCCTTATACCCATTGATGTCTCTTTACAGGGCTTAAATGCAAAATGTTCAACATGTCTTCCTCTAAAGTACCTTCAATTTGGTTTATTTTAAATAATTAACTATCTTTCATTGATAGGAGTTATGAAAAAAGGCTGAATATAACTTTTGAAAGGATTTGATAATTGAATAAAGAAGAAAAACAGAAAAAAATGCTTATTCAGGTCGTATATGAATCTCCGAAAATAATAGTCAGAAGGCATACGTATAATATATTGTTGGAATGCGGAGAATATTATATCTAAAAAATTATATCTAATAAATAAATTTGTAAAAGGTAATGGAGAGTGACGAAAAAACTATAAATAATAATTTCCGAAAACTAACATTATTTAATGTAAATCACGTGTTTTCAATGAAATTTTCTTGCTAAATGTAATTTTTTAAGTTTGGCAAAAAGTATTTAAGATCAACAGAATTATGACAATGACATTGTTCAAGATAATATTGCATTGTACTTGTGTGGAAGAAGAAGTGAAATATAAAAATATTTTATGGATGTGTCTATAACCTTATATACATTTACTGTAGTTTAAGAACTCTAGATCTAATATTAGATTTAAATAATTAGATATCTATCATCCATTTATTCCGAAAAATTATCATGTAATCTTTTAGAAAATTAAATTAGTGAATAATTTGATGAATATTCCCTTTATGATATCCCAACAATATCCATTTACAATTAGTGTGACAACTTTTGACTTATCTATGACAGGCAATACAAATATCGTAATTCTTGATTGTAACATAATTTTTTTCATTGATTGTAACATCATTTTTTTCATTGATTGTAACATAATTTGTTTCATTGATTGTAACATATTTTTTTTCATTTATATCTTATGTAGGTTTTTATGAGATTTTTCCTACTGTAAAAAATTAATTTCAATTTTCTAAGTAGTATTCAAACCACTGTCATGTCAAGTGTAAGGTTACTACAACCATAAACTTGTAACTTATCTGTATGACATGTTGTAATATATAAAAAATAAAAATAAAATAAATTAATAAAAAGAAATATCGTAATTCTATTGCAGTGGACTTTTCAATAGGAAATAACAGTTTAATTAATAATATTCGTACAATCCATAATCAACCATTGATATAATAGACAAGAGTTTTGTTATTTTAATAATATTAATGAATTGTCAGTTGTTGTAAGCTTTAAATTTTAGCTCGGTTAAAAATGAACTTCAAAAATTATATAATAGCCATACATCACTAGAAAATAATTTCTATTCAAAATATAGCGGTAAGTGATAGTTGTGTGTTGGCTGCAACAGATTTTTTGTTCACGTTCCGCTAATACTTCTATACAAACTTCTCTTAACTAGTAGTTCCAATCTACAACTGTATTATGATTCATATCTGGTTGTTTTTCACACCATTCGAGAACATTTCACCAAACGAACATGGTTGTAAGAAAAAACCTTTGTAAGAAAGAACCTTATGATTGTAAGAAATTTGGCTGAATTCTACATTATTATTTTTGCGGCCGGCTATCGGAAGTACCAATTTCCTAACTAGAAATATCACTAAAATAGCTGAACTCAAAGATGTTGAAATTGGAGTTAGCCATCGTGTCAACTGAAAGGCTCATATATTAAGCTTCATTCTGTAAAACTTGGTTTGTCATATGAAAACCCAGCTTGTCAATATGGAAAAAAAATTGTCAAGCGTAGCTACCACATTACTCTGCCAACTAGTTTATTGGTCACTTTGGCATACCATAACAAAACATGAGACATCTGCAGAAAATGTGCCACCTGCAACAACGATCACCTCTCTATCAAAAGTGGATGCCAGACCAAGAGGGACTTGCGTGTGCGGCAGACTTATTGAAGGCGCAAGTTCCTTTAAATTTTACTTGAAACGGTTCTAATCTTACTGAACTTCCATCAACAACTCCCCTCTCCCTCTGACCATTAACAATTTGTATAATACATCGGTCCTTTGTTGATGGAGTGTAACATCGACAGAGTGTAAGCTTTCTCGGAATTGCTAATAGATAACACTGGTAATTTGGAGGGTGTCCAACGGACACTCAATAACAACAACATGTTCAAGTAATTTTAAAAATTAAATTTATCAATCAAAGACTGCGAAATCTTAGAAAAAGATTAAGTGGAACTACAGACAATGAATAAAATGTATGTTACGAATAGAAGAAATAATAATAATTGTGAATTTATTTATTAACTTATGAGTTCTGTGATATTGCCTGGTTTGATACATATGATGACTCTTTGAACAAGTATATCACATTATCTGAAGAGCCCCCGAACTTTATATAAAAAAAAAATAGTTAAATAGTTAATTAATAGTCGTTTATATATTTTGTATTGTTATGAAAAGATTTATATGTGGATTGGGCCAAATCAGCGACGAATGGAAAATTAAGGTCTTACTGAATGATTTTATTTGTGACAAAATATTAAGGTTTTTACGAAGGATTTTGGACTGTAAGAATTGGACACAATTGAAACTCGGTAGTTTGGTTTTACAGCAAAGCTCAATTCCGTATGCCCATATAGGCCTTCGTCATGCAAATGAGCCTTTTGTAATTAATTGAAAACTTGAAACGTTTTTAAGTGTTGGACTAGCCGGAACCTAAAAATTCAGTTGTTGTTTCAGTCTTGTATGCGGATTCCATGTCAGATGTTTGTCCAAGGTAGCGGATTTGTTCAACATAGACAAGTACAATATTATTGAAGGATAATTTAGGACGATAAGTCATTGGTTTATGAATAAGAGTTTTTTATGATTTTGTCTTAGAACTACAATTGAAATGGTATGTGATTAACTTTTGATCATAAAAATTATGTATATTCATGGTGGAGTATGAAAATTGATATCAACTTGTTAGAAAGGAGAAGATTCTCCATATCTTTTTCACATATAGATACATTGAGAAAAGTTAAGATCAATAAACAATTTCTAAAAACACACTATAAAAAAAAAATCTTTCAAGTAGTATCAGTATACCTTCCATTCCATTTTTGAAGTTTACATAATTACCTATATTTCAAGGACTATTCTTAGTCGTTTGGGAATAACATCTACAGGGATTACATCACAAACAAAAGTTATAGACGGAATTTATATTGGAACATCTAGGAATCAAAACTTATATAGTTTTCGAATTTAGTCTAAAATCAAAAATAAATGGTATAAACATAACCTCCCTTTCAATATATACAATGCTTACTACATTTCACAGCCATTTTATATCTTGGTAATGAGGTAATTTTTTTTTTCTAAGATGTGAAGACCAGCTGCACTGCATTTGAGGCACTGAAGGCCAAGTTAAAAAGGTCTTCCGGTGTATGCTCGTGTCTGAAAACTGCAAGGCCTTCCTATACGGATGGAAAGAAACAGTAGGTGCACCCAAATTTAATATGGGAGAAAGGCAAAAGAAGAAGTGACTCCCGCAATTTCAATCCGGAGAAATTCCTGGATAGAAACAAAGGACGATTTAAATTTTATTGTTTTTACACAATAAATTGCAACCACCTATTTTTTAAAGATAATGGAGGGAGAGGAATATAATAAGTAGGTAATTTTTTTAAAATATTTATTCTATCTCTTTAAATATTTATCCGCATCAATCATGATAGAGACTGAAGTTCAAACTTCGTCGGATAACCGTTAGAGATGACGCCACCTACACATCTCTTCTCTCTCCCCTCCCTTGTAACGACTTTTATTCTCCCTGCAACACTTAAGGAGACAGGTAGTACTTCTTTTATTTCTTTCCTATTTCAGCTTTCTCAATTTCTTCCCTCCTTCCTTTCATTCCTTTTCTCTGTTTTTAACTCTTTATTATATTATACATTGTCTGTACATCTAGATAGACTTTACAATATCTCAATTTTCTATCTAACTACTCCATTCTCAAAGTTTTAATTTTACTATTTATTTTCATTTCTTATATAACTTCATATTTCTTTTTTATGTTTTACATTTTATTCTAAGATTCCCATTGTAACACTTATGTCACCTTTTTTGATTATGCCTACTTCATCATTCTACACTTTGTAACGGTTATTATTATTTATCTCTTAGTTCTTAGTCATTATTCTAACGATTCAATTTTACTTTATATTTATTTTATTTTTCTAATTGTTTTATTTTTTGTTATTTTTTTTTTTACCATCACTACTTATTTTTCTCATACCTTGTTATCTGGTTATTTTCTTATCCCTGATGAAGGCCTGAACTTCAGGTCGAAACGTCGGCATATGTAAATATTATCATTTATTTTTGACTTCCTTTTTGACTGACCACCCCAACTATTCTTCTCTTCATTATCCACGACAGTCAACCAATTACCAATCATGATAGAGACTTTTCGTTTAACTGAACGATTGGTATGATAGACATCTTAATTGGTACTACCGTACAAGTATCACTCCCCTTTGATAGATGATATAAGATCTCATGATCACACCATAAATGGAATCCATAAATGGGTTCCGACTTTAACTGAAAAGGTTACGTTGGGGGTTCGTTTATCCCTCTAGAGCGAGAGTAGCGAGCGGGAGTCCTAAGCAGCGTTGTAATTAAAGCCAATTAACGCTCTGATTTTAGCTCAAAAAAACAATGGATGGAGTGGCCGAACGGGCTAACGCGTGTGCACAGCACCCCCGCACAGTAGGCCGAGTAAGGAAAAACGACATCGAATAAATTATTATTTCTTTTTCAATTGAACTATATTGAACTAAAACAGTGAAAAATGTATATTGTGCCTATTGAACATATTCTCGGAAACTCGGCGAACAGCACAAGGTATCAATAAAAGAATTTATCTAGTTTTTGGAGTTCTAAAAAAATAAAATAGATTTAGACGTATTCAAATAGATGTCGCGAGTTTTCCCTTACTCGTCCCACTGGGCGCCGTTCCCGGGAGTATTTTGAATCCCCGCCCAAGTCCCCTGGCCCGGGAAAACGTATAGTCTTAAAAGCAAGGAAGGGGAGACACCAAAAAAAAAAAAACCTGATATGAATCAGCTGTAAGTGAATCGCAATCTAAATAACGGGAGGCTAAACTGTGAACAAGTTGTGAATCTTCGGAATCACATTAATATAGGCCCACTCTTCTATTTGGAGTGACAATTATACAGTGGTATCCTAATTTCTATGATAAAAAATCTGGTGAAATTGTTTTAATGGAACAAGTTATTTTCAAGATCGATGTGTATCAAGGAAAATACATTTACTTTTATGTAACAGAAAGTAGTATTTATATATCGAACTATATAGTTGATGAAAATCATATAAACGAAAGTCATTGATATATCTATCACATCGATCTGATTGAAGAGAGAACCAATTTGAAACTCCAAGCTAAAATGTAATACACGAGTGAAAATTTGTATGTGCACAAGTATGTTTTAACCTCCTGCATGAACATTAAACACATTCGGTAATAAGAAAGCAAAAAAAAAAATTAACGACATTTTACATATCGCACTATACGTTGCAGAAATCAGCGCATTCTAACAATCAATCACGTCAGCTTCATATCTACAGTCTCTGGCAATAACTAGTGAAGTCGAAAAATGATTCTCAAGAGTTCTATAAATTGAGATAATCTTCCAAGTCCTTCTAAAAACCGTGAAGAAGTCAGTAAATCACAGAACTAAACATTTTAGAATTCTAGACGATAACTGGGAACTTACTATCTTCTTCGCGGTGTTTAGAAGGTTTAGAAGATAATTTATATCCACTATATATATATAATATAATATATTAAATCCACTATATATATATATATATATATATATATATATATATATATATATAATATATTAAATATATATATATATATATATATATATATATATATATATATATATATATATATATTTAAGTCAATTATAAATGTATACCAATATCGTCGAAAAATTGTCCTCAAGAATTCAATAAATTAACTTCTTCGCGGTGTTTAGAAGGTTTGGAAGATGATTTAAATTCACTATATATAAAGGTAGGTAGGGTAGGGGTTTCAGGAAGATAAATTGTTATTATTATTAATAATAAAAATTTAATAATAAATTGGGATACGTTTTTATATATATATATATATATATATATATATATATATATATATATATATATATATATATATATATATATATATATATATATATATATATACACGGCCGTAATAATCCCGATCAATATATATATATATATGATTGACTCAATTATACATATATATATTTTTTTTTTCCCCCCTGACGTAACCCCACACAAGGATATATATATATATATATATGTCTTTTCATCTCTTTTTTCTCAGTTTACACAGTTTATACAGCTGACATTCCAACCCATCCCAACACTGTCATCACCACCTATGCCGATGACACGTGTATCCTATCAAACTCTCCAATCACACATCACAAGTCTTGAAGAATGGTGTCAAAACTGGAGGATTAAAATAAACTCCAATAAATCCCATCATATTACCTTACGCTGCGTCGCAAACCTATGACCTCCTGTCCTACAGTATCCTTTAACAACGACTAAAGGATAAATTCCCCCTTTATCCCAGTTGAACAAATCCGTTACCTAGGACTCCACCTGGACAAACCACTCATATGGAATCCTCTTAGAAGACTGAAACGGCAAGAAACCGCTCGACGTTTCCGACTACTCTAACACTTACTAGACAAACGCTCTAAGCTTTCAATTAATTACATACGACTCATATATATGACAATAACAAGACCTATTTAGACTTAAGGAATTGAGCTTTGGGGCTCCACTAAACCATCGAATACCTCTCGTATCCAATCCTTACAATCCAAAATCCTTCGTAAAATCCTCAACGCTTCTTGCTTTGTCAAAAACAAAGCCATCCATAAAGAACTTAATGTTCCATATGATTCCGATTTGGCCCAATCCAAATACCTATCCTTCCATAACAAACTGCAGAACCATCCGAACCCTCTCGTTTCAAACCTCACTTCCTCCTCGATCCCTGATAACCCACCGAGGCGTCTGAAAAGAAGATGGCCTCGGGACCTTCTAATATAGAACTTTAATTTGAGTTCTACCAATGGGTAGTTTCTCTTCATGTTGTAAAAGTCATGTTACCAATGTCGCATTTACTTGTTGTATTTTTAATGTAATGTAGTTGTAAATTTCATTGAAATAAAAAAATAAAATTAAAAATAATATATATATATATATATATATATATAATATGTCAGTACTAGAGTACTAATATATGTAGTATATGCCTTTAAGGCATGGAGCATGAAGGTGAATGAAATAAACGATCCTTATGTGGGGTTAAGTCAGGGAAAAAAAAAAAAAAAAAATCACAGTTATTGTCTAGAATTTTATATACATATATAAACATATAAAGAATCTTTACTAAAAGGAAATTTAAAAACAAACAAATTTCAAAAGAAACACAGTAAAATTTAATATTTTTAATATATAAATATTGTTAAGACAAAATTAAAATCAATAGTGGGTATAAGTAATCGATATTAAAAAATCAATTCCTAAAAATCTAATTTTTGCAATATCTCACTTTAAAACTGACTTGTTTAAAATTGTATTTTTATTTATTATTATTTATTCATCAGTTATAAAATAAAAATAAAATGTTCACATTCTTCAAAAATAAATTAATTGGTTATAAGAACTATAGACACCATTACTAAGGCTACTATGAGAAAGTAACTTAAACTATGGTTATAAACAAACAGTTAAACTTACGCATTAGTTTCCTCTTTTGAACTGAAGAGTAACTGAATTTCAGGGTATTCGTAATCACTGAGATCAACAAATTATTAATGATTAGTTTTTTAATGACACAGTAACACAGAAGTTTGTATGTATATTTTTTTTTTTTTAGTTTACCTGAAATATCTCCCTTTACCCCAAGCAGTACTTATTTTCAAATAATTGATGAGAAACACGAAAACCAATTCATAGGTGTGAAATGCATTGCTTATACGCATTTTATTAACATTTTTGCTGTAAATATCACTCACCAATTAATAAAAATGGTTATAAAATTCACCTGAAATGCTCTACCTTACTACTATCAAACATATGTTGATATGTTAGATAGCTTCAGAAATGTTATCCATTGTCAGATATATTTGTATGATTGGTAGCGTTTCATTTACAGTAATGTAAATGTACCTGCATTTTTTTTCTTTAAGGTTCCGAATTTAAACAAATCAAGAGCCGCTAGTCGTCTCAAAGTAGTAAGTAAGGATTTTGTGAAGATATACTTAAAATATGCTACTTTGACTATTAAATCTAGTGAAGTATGTGGTGCATGCAACTGCCTTGTATCTGACCCGGTGACTCATTCAATGCATCAAATTTAACAAACCAAGAAATAAGTACTTGAAAACATTTATTACTGAATCCAGGGAAGATGCTAGTGGAGAGGATATACTAAAAATAGATACTATGAAAAAAATTGAATCAACTATATATTCCATACAAGGCTGTTCATTGAACTGTTAAGTGTTGTAGTTAATCATATAAACAGAAATTAATGCATATTTATATTGTTATTTTTTTATATTACTGGAACATATAAAAAAAAAATTAGTAATAAAAAATAATTGTTTTACTTGTTATATGTATATATATTGTTTACTAACCTGTAATTATAGTTATGCTTAATGCTATGGACCTTTTTAATGTTATGTTTGAGCAAAATACTAGACTCAAGATCTAAAATTGTAAATAATACCTTTATATTTATTTGTAAAGAAATTATCTTAAGCAAATAAAATAAACTATTCTAAAATAATGTTATTACCAACACCTTTAATAATAACCTCATTATATAATTTCTTCTTATTAATCTTTCCAATATTCCTATACATTTTTCTCGATTTTGTGATGAAATCATCGTACAATTCAAATGAAAATCAAATGGATATTCATGAATTTTTGTTACCTCGTTAAATTAATTAACTCAATGAGAATATATCCTATTTATGAAAATTTGCATAGATAAAAATGTTGTAGTACAGTTAACGGAGGCATTGAAGACTTTATAAGTAATATTTTTATTCATAATGCCTGTTACAAATGGCATCTTAGAATACAGAATATATGGGTTGACTACAAGAGTTGACTCCATGTCTCCTACAAGAGTGTGACTTCAAGAATATAATTGCAAGAGTAAGAGTCCAGAGGATCATGGGGTTTTATGCCCAGAAATTGTAGGGGGGTGAAGGGAAGTCGGAAGAGGACTCCAAAGGAAGCGTGGGAAAGAAGTTATTAACTATTAATAATTGATATCCTTATCCTTTAGAATTTATAGATGAAGTCTGTGAGAAAGATACCTTTTGCTGAAATCTGTTATTGTTCCCTAAGTCTTGATAATGGGTCTTGTGCCCAGTCTTAGTAGTTTAAATTAATATTTCTAAGCTTTCAGAGACAGCTTGACCTGGCTATCTAGGAATAACTTTGTCCTTTTATTATTTGAGTTATGAGAATCGTCAACACAATAATTTTAGGCATGAGGAAAAAAATAGTACCCAGCAGCACTTTTTCCTGGTCTTGATTTATTTCCTTAATTCTGGAAAGGAGATCTCTCTTCCAGCTTCTCTTTAGTCGTTTCCTGATAGGCAAGCGACAAACCAAATTATTAAAATAAAATTGAAATTAATATTATTATTATTTGTTACTGATTAAGTCCACTCCGTAACTGTACGATAAGTGAAGCCAGTCTCGAAGTTTTAGACGGATGTTAATAATTCGATAAAAACATTTTGATCCTTTTCCTGAATTTCATTTCTGTAACCGATGATTTCGTCTTTTGGTAAGGAGCAATAATGAATGACTCCAACCATGTTAACTCCAACAACATTTTCGTGACACTCAAATGAAAATTCTACAATACCAAATACGGCTGTTAGCAATTTTTTTTCACAGGTTCTACATTTCACAGTCTGTTCAAGTAATTTTCTCTTGCAAATTGCCAATATGGTAAACTGAAATTAATACACTGGAATTACTAGTTGAGGCTAGCATTACCATGAACCTACTGGATAATTTCCATTGAGGACGATGATCTCAGAAATTAATAAGAAAGGAGGATTGGCTCCGGTGGAGTTGATCTATTAGTTGCCTCAAGACTGCTCAAGTATTAACTCCATTAGTGTAGGAAGCGTTAAAATCCCATTACCTCTAATTTGATATCGGTTCCTGGCGGATATAGGTAAACGATCGTTAGTCCTCTACCACCCAGCCAATAGCGATTCAAATTAATCTTTCCCAAGTTTTATGATTATGATTTAATTTTATCAATTAATATCACATTTTATAACATCATTGTTAAGATCTATCACCGACTTTGTTTAAATGAGCTTATACATTAACGATTTGTGGAATCCAAAAATGGAATAAAAAGAATCTGTCTGGGCGTCGTAAACAGCCCGAGGCTTTTCTCCTAGACTAAGGGGTCGATAGTTTTGAGATTTGGTATCAAATTCAAAGATCTTCCCGAAATCCGTTACATCCGTGATTTCGTTTTAAAATGGAGCCCCAAAAACGTATGCTTTCATTATGTAAATTTTTTTTTTTTTTTAAATCTATAGTATTTACAGGGAACGGTACTTTTTATTTTAGAAATACTCACAACCGAGCAAATGAAAATCCTTTAGCCACAAGACTTAGATGGCATCGGTACCAATTTAGGTTATTAGCTCATTATTGCATATAAATATTTTAAATATATATATAAAGGCTTATTATATATATATATATATATACGGCTGAGCTTCATGCCGCAAACTGGAAAACAGTTGCGCAAGATAGGCAGAGGTGGAGAAGGCTGGTTCAGGCGGCCAAAGATCTACAAGGTCTGTAGAGCCAACCAAAAAATATATATATATATACATACACATATTAAATGCTTGAATTATTTTTATAAACATGTAACTATTAGGATCAGAAATCTTAATTGGTCACTTATAAATTATGATCAATTCATCCTATAAACGCCGGAATAAAAAATACAGTTGTGTTATCAATTTAGATAACGTATTGTAGTATATCCCGTCATGTAAAAAAAATAAAAAAAATTAAAGATTTGACACGAGTACTTAGGTGATATGATATCAAACATAATTCTTTACAGACCGATTATGGCACGTCGGATTGCTCTTCAAGCTTAAATTTCACCTACCACAGTCTTTATATCTCATACTCCGATCCTATCCCTCTGACCGCTCCTTTCAAGTTCGCTGCGGCACTAAATTCTCCGACTTTTATTCAGTTGAGTCGGGAGTTCCGCAGGGAAGCGTATTGTGTCCCATCCTTTACATTATTTTTATCGCAGATATTCCTGATACCCTCGAGGCAATATTTATCAACTGTCATCCTTTCTTAGACACAGTCCTGTATCTTAGCTTTCTCTTAGACAGAAGACTAACGTGGAACCCTCATACTAGACTTAATACACAGCAACTTAACCGACGATACGGCCAACTATACAGACTATTTAACAGAAAATCTAAACATTCTATTGAAAACAAATTACTGAGCTATAAGACAATACTGAAACCTATTTGGACTCACGGTCCAGAATTGTGGGGGTAGCAAAATTTTTTAACATCAAACGCAAACAATCCTTCAGTCTCAAAAAATCTTTATTTAAAACTTTTAGCGAATTAAAAGAGCTATATAAATAAAGCTAAAGCAATCTGAAAAACAATAAAAGAATTAACACAAATTTTATGTTTTATGTTATATTCTTGTTTCCACTCAGAAAAATAATTATATTTTTATTTGTTTGTACATATTAATCAAGGGCAATAATAAAGCGCGAATTCACACCATTATTAGAGAATATATAAATAAATTAAATTACAGAAATATAATAAAAATAACTAAGAACAATGTTGAATAAAATAAGACAATGATAATCATTAATATTTCAAAATCAGGAATAAAAAAAAACATGAAAATAATACACAAATATGGTGGACTGGATAGGGAACGGCCACTGAAGAAGCTCCTTGGGAGTGCCCCCTATATTAATGGTGAGGTTGGCTTATTAGGAGGTCACGTGACTTACTACAGTTTCGCGGTAATAGCCTTAGCGTATGATGAACTGGAGTGAGTCAGACCATAATTCATCCATCGCACCTATCTTCACTCATTTTCTTTTGCCTTTAAAAAATTACACAAGAGAGGTCAAGAATCATACACATTAGATTAAAACCATTTAACCAACTAGTAAACTAAACAGGAATTCAGAGTAACTGGATTAGTCGCAATTATAAAGCAAATACTGATCTGCACTTTTAAATTAAACTTCTGGTTAGACCTGTTCCGGAGCTGAAAATTTTTATTAAATCTTGAATATAACTTTATAGCTTTCGAATAATGTATAGTATTTACAACTCAAATGTAACCCTTTCCAAATCCAAATTAATATTTTCTAGGAGTGTCTAGAAGGAGGTTACATAAAACAAATTGCCCCATCAAAATTTAGGAGGGGGCACATTTTGACGGGGTATTGAATCTCTTCGCCAAATTCCCAGAGTAGTGTTGCCCAAAATCAGAGTTGGTCTGACTCTTGCATCATCTGAATCTTGCAAGACCAAGACCAAGACTGGTAAAAAAAAAATCATTTTTTGAGTAAAAATTAAGGCAAAATAGTTATTATACTTGACAAGCTTAGTTACTAAATGTAAAGAATTGGTATAATCAATATACTTTTGCTTTTAATTCTTTCAATTTTTCTTTGGACTTAGTTAGGTTTCCACTATCTGAAAAATTACAGTAATATCTCTATAGTAATAAGCTAATATTTAACTGCAAGACCGTTGCGAGATTCTTGCGCGAGACCAAGTCAATGGTCTCGCATTTGTGCAACATTATTTCAGAGCTAAGAAAAGAAAATATAATATATGTCACACATTACATGAATCTGTTTTTCTTAGTCGATTATAATGTTTTTTATCCCTTTTTTATCAAAATATTAACATCCGCCTAAATCTTCTTGAATGGTTTTATCTTATTGTAAACTGCAAATATTTTATGTACTAAAATTTTGGGAATAGGAGAT